TTAATACATTTATAAAGTGATGACAAATGGGGTTCAATATTTCACGAAAGTTCATAAGTGTTTGCTTGGATCAGAGTAAAAATGGACCTAGAAATTTGTAGTAGTGTATCATGTAGTCACATAATACCTCCTAATAATCTCTTACTTTTATTTGTTTTTTGCTCCAATTTGTCTCTTATCAGTCCTTGTACATTTTTTTCTATAAATTTTTGCAATTATGTATACATATGTTTACGATGTGTGTGTTTTTTAATCAAAATTTATATTATTTTTATAAAACCAGTAAATAAATTAACGTATTATTAATGTTTTCTTATGCAAATTTTAATCATTTGATATTTAAACTAAAAACAATGCAGTTATTTTTCAGTTGTATTTAAAAGTTAAAAAATACAAAATTTTTGTTAATTTTGAAAAAAAATCTTAAATTATGGCAAAATATTCACATATTTATTGCACAAACGGTTTTTCGTTTCAGTTTTTTTTTTGTAAAACTATACACGTTCTTGACTTTGAATTGTAATTTTATTCATTTCATTTAAAATTCATTGAGATTCATTGTGTTTTAGTGGACAAAAACCGCAAGAAACAAATAAAAAGTTGCAAATATTTTCTTGTAAATAAATGAATAATTGTAAGGAAATTATTGTTCATAAAGCAAATGAGTGATTAAAGAAGTTAAATATTAATGGTTACATGTAACATTACTTAACTGACAATTTTTTCTTGCAGTCATAATATAGCTATGAGAAATATTTCCGAATAAATGGTTAATGTTCGGTTATCATTAGCTCAAGTAGTAAAAAAAAAGTCTGTTACGAGATGTCAATATGTTAGCATTGTTATATTAATATTATGGGTATTTACCCTTTTTTGGTAATCAAGTTTAAAATTGTAGAATATTTAATAAGTCTGAAAAAGTTTTTAATGTATTTATACATTAGCATACGGAATTATCTTAATGGGACTTTTAACTGGGGGCGATTGAAAACCTAAATTGTAATAAGAAAAGAACTACGAAACGACTAAATACGTATGTATATATGTACGTAGTTATATACAAAAAATAATTTAATTTTTGAAATTTTAATAATTTAGAATAGACCCCTTGATATCCAAACTGACTAACTACAGTTCAGTTTAAAATCTAACTATAGTCGAAAGTAGAGATATGCTCCAGACAATTGAGTAAACTAAAGCCCAGACTATAAACTAGAGTAAAGTCTAGACTAGACTAACTATAGTTCTGTTTAAAACCTAAATATAGTCAAAAGTAGAGATATGGTCCAGACTATTGACTAAAGCCAGTCTATATTATACTATAGACTAAACTAGGCTAAAGTCTAGACTAGAATAGACTAACTATAGTCCAGATTAAAACCTAACTATAGACAAAAGTAGAGATATGCTCCAGACTTTATTTATTTTTTTATTACACTATAGACTAAACTACAGTCCAGACTATAAGCTAGACTAAAGTCTAGACTAGAATAGATTATAGACTTTATTACAGTCCAAACTATTGACTAACTATAGTCCAGATTAAAACCTAATTATAATCAAAAATAGAGATATGGTCCAGTCTGTTGACTAAAGCCAGTGTCTATATTATACTATAGACTAAACTACAGCCCAGACTATAAACTAGACTAAAGTCTAGACTTGAATAGACTAAATATAATTAAAACCTAACTATAGTCAAAAGTAGAGATATGCTCCAGACTATTGACTAAAGCCAGTCTATTTTATACTATAGACTAAACTATAGCCCAGACTATAAACTAGATTAAAGTCTAGACTAGAATAGAACCCAGATTAAAACCCAACTATAATGAAAAATAGAGATTTGCTCCAGACTATTGACTAAAGCCAGTCTATATTATACTATAGACTAAAGTACAGTCCAGACTAAAAACTAGACTAGAATAGATTGTAGACTTTATTACAGTCCAAACTATTGACTAACTATAGTCCTGAATAAAACTTAATTATAGTCAAAAGTAGAGATATGATCCAGACTATTGACTAAAGCCAGTCTATATTATACTATAGACTAAACTACAGCCCAGACTATAAAACTAGACTAGAATAGACTAACTATAGTCCAGATTAAAACCTAACTGTAGTCAAAAGTAGAGAGACTTGAATAGACTAATTATAGCCCCGATTAAAACCTAACTATAGTCAAAAGTAGAGATATGCTCCAGACTATTGACTAAAGCCAGTCTATTTTATACTATAGACTAAACTATAGCCCAGACTATAAACTAGATTAAAGTCTAGACTAGAATAGAACCCAGATTAAAACCCAACTATAATGAAAAATAGAGATTTGCTCCAGACTCTTGACTAAAGCCGAGTCTATATTATACTATAGACCAGACTATAAACTTGACTAAAGTCTAGACTAGAATAGATTATAGACTTTATAACAGTGCAAACTATTGACTAACTATAGTCCAGATTAAAACTTAACTATAGTCAATAGTAGAGATATGGTCCAGACTATTGAATAAATGGCTAAAGCTTGTTTTCGCCTTCATTAAAGAGAAATCGATACATTAGTCGTAGTTCCGCTGGACTACAAACTGGTATACATATGTATATTGGTCCAGTTTGAAACTAGCTATAGTCCAGACTATGACTAATTGAGTATTATTAATAGAAAGTATGTCTGAAAGGGAATTTGATACATCTGTCTGAGTTCCGAGTTTATGCCTTATAGCACTAAACTATATGTGTCTGTTCAGATTTAATGGTCATCTTTGCGCTCATGCTTAATATTAAAGCTAACTTTACCACTTATGTCTTTTTCATTGACGACTTCTGCAGAAGTTGTAACAACAAAGTGGAAAGGGTCGTACACATTCTCTGTCGATCTCATAGGAATTTTCTAGGGCTTTTCTAGATCTTATGCTGTCGACTTTAGATCAATCTATTTATCAATATCGATTTTCTTATATTCGATTCAACATCAGAAAACAATGGATTTTTTGTAGGATTCATTTATGGAATATCTTTGGTCTCTGCCTTCGTCCTATCTTGTACGATACTAGGGGCACTCGACTTTAGGCTGTACAGTTTTGTTTAGCTTCTTTGGATCTTTGGAGTTTTATTATTTTCATTATTTAATCGTTTATAACAGGTTCAAATCGAGTTATATACCGATTCAAGTACGCAAAGAGTCTTATCAAGAACCCAAATAAGTCGGCTGGATTTAGGGACCTAGCCTATTACGAAAATCAGCTGAGAAATGTTTAATCATTTAAAAAATGTTGTAAGAACAAAGACGTATAGGAAACGGTAAAATATATATCTCTGTTTCTGTCCACTTTCTTCGGGTCTAGGGCTATTAAGCTGAGCTTGTTAAGTTTTCCACAACTAAGCGAATCTTTAGGATTTTAATATTTGCAAAATTGTTTTGTTTGGTCGGGTTTTAGGTTTGTTCGATTCATCGTGTAAGCAGTTTTTTCATGGTTGGAAGTATTAAATCTAAACTCACAGGAAATCTTAGTCAAGATCTATTTGCCTTTTGACTGTCAGATCTTTTCCCGATTCCATTTTCTTAAGGGAAATGATTTGCTTTGTCTTTTTCGCTCTCTTGGATCTTTTTGACAAATAATTAGAGAGATCTTTTTTGGCTCAGCCTTTTTCGCTCTCTCTCTCTCTCTCTCTCTCTTGGATCTTTTTTAAAATCGGTCTACGGCAAACTATTAGTTAGATAGTTTAACATATTAAATTGGAAATTATATTTTTCTTTTGAAGATTTGAGCTAAATGGCTTAAATCTAATGGTTTATATGACAGGGTCAAAGGTTAAATAAATATTTAAGATTTTTATTTATCTTAAATAAAACATCTAATATTTGAAAAAAAATTTCCTGTAACATTTTTACAAGATCTGAGTGAAATTGTTGTAAATTTCTAATTGTATACACAAATTTTGATTGCTTTAGTCATATTATTGTGGCTGCAACTAAAAATTTAGTTGTTAACATCGAATCTTTTGTTTGGCTGCAAATTCAGTTCTGATTGTTTTTTTTTTATTGTCTTAAGTGGGTTCAGAAATATTTATTTTTTTCAATTTCAATTATTTGTTTGTATTGAACAAAAGTACAAAGTTACGTTCCGAAAGAATAAATTTTTGTTTGGCGTAAACGAACTGCACAAAATATTGAAAAAATGAATAAATTAATAAGTGAGAACTGGTTAATATAAAACTAAAAATTTCTTTAAAAATAGAAAAATAAATAAATATTTAAACAAACTGTGAGTTTTTTTTTTTAAACAGTAATAAATAATATTTTTGCTTGGGTGTGATTTAAAGAAAACCTGAAGATGTTAAAAAAAAGATCAGAGGAAGTTAAAATTAGACAAAATTTAAAAACATATGTTTTAAAAACCTTAAACTTGTTGACATTTAAAGAATGACAAAATTTCGTTTATTTTAAAACAAATTTTGATTAAAAAATAATAAAACAACGCATTAAATGTATTCAAATATGACCAAAATAAAAGTAAAGTGTTTTAAAGCATAAGTTTAGAAAGAGTGAAAAAAAGTCAAAACATCCGGTTGAAATAAAATTTGAATAAAACAGCAACAACATAAAAGCCAAAAATTTTATATAAAATTAAAATATTCATTAAAACAAAAAGAGCTAAAGTTTATCGAAAATATTTCCGGTTTTTAACGAAAATGTGTATATTTTTATATGTTGTGCAGGCGTTAATTAGCAACAATTTTATTTAATTTTTCCTTTTTTTTTTTCAAAGAAATGCTGGTTGTTAACTAATATAAATAAAATAAATCTTTAATGATTTTAAACAAACATAAATAATGTAAATTTATAAAGAAAAAAAAATGCTGTTACAAAAAATGCAAATAAATTTTACTTATTTATTTAAATAAAACGAACAATAAGAAGAAACGACAAGAAAAAATTCAAACCAAAAAAATTAGAAAATTTAAAAAAAAATATATATTTCCTAAGTTTTTTTAAATATTTGGCCAAACATTTTAAAATCTTTACCAAAAAAAAAAAAAAAAACAAAATCAACAAATACTTTAAACTTCCCCTTTAACCAAATGCAAGAAAATGACAATTTTTTATGCTCGACTGATAATAAACGTTATAAAATCTGTCCTAAAATGGAAATACCCACAACAAAATATTTAGCAGATTATCTCTATGTTGTACACGAGGATGTGCCATTTCGTTATTATCGCAAAGTAAGTTAAATTTCAAATGAATTCTAATCTCTTAACATTATTTCATAGATAAACAGAAGCTTTTTATTTATTGCAAAATTTTTTTGCTAATTATTTAGCTAAATTATTAATTAACACCTTTTTTTCTATTTTACCAACTAATACATACAAATATAATTATGAATGAATATGAATCTGCAGCGATTTACTCTCTGTTGTATCTACTGCTGCTGCTACTGTTGTATAAAAAAGGGAAGTGTTTTGTGGTTGTGCGGTTGTAAGAGATTGTTTTTATTATATTGTTAATATTTTCAATATTTTTTTTCAAGTTTAACGAACTGTAATTATATGTTTATTTGTTTCTCTTTTACATTATTTTCAATACCCCCTACTTTAGGTGTTACGTATAAGCATATCTCCTAGAAAGTTTAAAGAAAAATATTAAAATTCTAATATGACACTGCACAGTGGTTTAGTAAAGAATGTAGAAGTGCTTTACATGAACACCTGACTTGACGGCCTTATTTCACGGTAGTCTTTTTCAACCATTTGCAACGACTCACCACCGCCCCATTGTGCTTCTTACACGCCGGTGACAATTTATGGAATATGGAATTTCCGGTCCAGTATACGTACACTTTGCTCGAGCTATCTAATCTCTTGCCATAGTAGTGCCGTTGGGGAAGGGGAGGGGTCATGAGCAAGCTCAATCTAACCCCGACAAGGAAAAGGCAATCACTAGTTTAGAGACAATAGACAACGCAACATCAAACCCGATTGATGTTGTGACGAACACTTATATCCCTACACAGAGGGAAAAGGAAATATACACGCTTGGTACCAAATTGACATCAAACTGTTTATAATTTTTCAATAACATCCCTTGTCAAAGTATATACATATGTACGACAACGCTATGTAATGTTGACAACGCAACGTTGTCAACATTGCAACAATACGATTGATGTTGTGACGAACACTCATATCCCTACACAACAGAGGGAAAAGGAAATATACACGCCTGGTACCAAATTGACACCAAAGAGTTTATAATTTTTCAATAACATCCGTTGCCAAAGTATATACATACGTACGACAACACTATGTACTGTTGACAACGCAACGTTAACAACATTGCAAAAATTCGTTGTCGAAATCTAAATTTTATACACATCCGTTTTTTAAATGTTTACAAACGTGGTAAGCTCACTATTGGCAACAGATTATTTGTCAATAGTGAGCTTACCACTGTTTGTGTATACAATTTTGATTTCGACAACGAATTGTTGCAATGTTGTCAACATTACATAGTATTGTCAACATTACATAGTATTGTCGTACGTATGTATATACTTTGACAACGGATGGTATTGACAAATTATAAACAGTTTGGTGACAATTTGGTACCAGGCGTGTATATTTCTTTTTCCCCTTTGTGTAGAGCATTCTCATCATCTATGACTCACCCCAGTGCATTCCTAGACCTGCAACAGCACCTAGGGGACGTAATTGGTAGTCCGAAACTCACGTCCATTTTAATTGACAAGACCTATTTCCGTGGCCACAGAGACCTACTGTGATAAGTTGAGCATGTTTTAGAGTAAACTCCAACACACTCAACCATGAAGGAATATCACTGATAAACTAAAGATTAAGGTATTTACAACTTCACCACTATTTTACTCCGTTTGGCCATTCGCACATTATCTCATCCGTCACTCTAACCATCACTTCATTCGACTAACCTCGGATACAACTCAGAATCCCTCTAATATATCCTAAAACCAACGCATACCCAATCTTTGCATCTGTGGAACTTATCCCGAACATTTATATTTCACCGTGTATCACCGCCTACCCGCGCATTTGGGTTTAAACCACAGCCACTAATTTGATCCCAATGGAACCTCAAACAACTGACCAGCCAGGACACTGTCCTGCGGGTAACTGGTCACCCGTAGTACCAGATGCGGTACATCCCATGTGAATCTGGTTAGATCCCATGTCAATTCATACCAAGGACTAGCCAGGGAGTGAATTGACATCATCAGTTTATAATCCCGGCAGACTAGCACCACTTTACCCCGGGATTGCAATACACCAAGATGAGGTTCTTTCATCAAGGAAACAAGCCCCGGGAGGAAGTGGTTTAGTAACGTTGTTTTAATCATATACCCACAAAAAATGATTAGATCTGGCTACGTCGCCTGTCTGTCTGTTTAGAACCCGTACAATTAGTATCCGAAATACAGTTTAAACAACCATTATAAAATTTTTTATAATTTTATTTTATTTAGCCAAAAATTACACTTGAAAAGTATGATCGGGCAAAGATCGGGCCATATTTAACCCTAAGTCCCCATGTAATGTCCACTTCTGAGAATGATTTTAAAGTTCATAACTTTCTTACAGAAACCAAACAAAATTCAAAAAAGTCGATACCCATAGACTGTAATATACTTTCTTTAATTATTAATCTATTCTGAATCCGAATTTGGCATCAGAATTTTTTACTTCAGGTTTTTGAGTTATCGTGTCCTAAAGTTTAAAAAAAGTATTTTTGATCATATATGTAAACTTATAACAGCGCCAAGAAACAATTATTTATCAATTTTCTTATGTCATATGAAAGCCCATACTGTTGAATTTTGCATAAAGGTTTAAACTTTGCTATAGTTTCCTCATTCTTCAAGATATTGAAACAACAAGCAAAATTTTGAACTACTTTCTCAGTGACCAAGTATTCTTTGGTCTCTAGAAAAGACAGACTACAATGCCTGTTAAAATCAATTTAGAAAAAAAGTGGTTGGGAAGTTTTGCCTCAATACCTGTTAAAAGAAATTTAGAAAAAAATTGGTCGAGGAGCAGCTACTTTTGACTTTTAAGTGTTCTGTGGAAACACATCTATTTCATTATTATTTTTAGATCACTCATCGAAATTTACATTTAACTTAAAATGAGGTCAAAACTAAAGAAAACAAATATCTCTCTACTTATATTATTTATTATTTGATTTAAATTTGTTAAAATTGTTATTTTAGTATAAATCTTTATTTTGTTTATGTACATTCATATGAATATGCATCGATTTGAACTTTTCTGTAATATTACCAAATATTTATTTTAAAAATAAATATTAAATCAATTAAATAAATATTGAAAATACTTTAACTTACACTAATACTTTGTTCACACTTATCAAATATTTAATGAAATACCGTGACCTCTAAAAAATTAAAAGAACTTAAGTTATCACTTTAGAATTTCTTTATTTGTAATTACAAAAATCGAATAAGATTAAAGACTATAGTCTATAGTCTAGTCTAGTAGTCTAGTCTAGTCTAGTCTAGTCTATAGTCTAGTCTATAGTCTAGTCTATAGTCTAGTCTATAGTCTAGTCTATAGTCTAGTCTATAGTCTAGTCTATAGTCTAGTCTATAGTCTAGTCTATAGTCTAGTCTATAGTCTAGTCTATAGTCTAGTCTATAGTCTAGTCTATAGTCTAGTCTATAGTCTAGTCTATAGTCTAGTCTATAGTCTAGTCTATAGTCTAGTCTATAGTCTAGTCTAGTCTATAGTCTAGTCTATAGTCTAGTCTATAGTCTAGTCTATAGTCTAGTCTATAGTCTAGTCTATAGTCTAGTCTATAGTCTAGTCTATAGTCTAGTCTATAGTCTAGTCTATAGTCTAGTCTATAGTCTAGTCTATAGTCTAGTCTATAGTCTAGTCTATAGTCTAGTCTATAGTCTAGTCTATAGTCTAGTCTATAGTATAGTCTATAGTCTAGTCTATAGTCTAGTCTATAGTCTAGTCTAGTCTAGTCTATAGTATAGTCTAGTCTATAGTCTAGTCTATAGTCTAGTCTATAGTCTAGTCTATAGTCTAGTCTATAGTCTACTCTATAGTCTAGTCTATAGTCTAGTCTATAGTCTAGTCTATAGATAAATCTATAGTCTAGTCTATAGTCTACTCTATAGTCTAGTCTGTAGTCTAGTCTATAGTCTAGTCTATAGTCTAGTCTATAGTTAAATCTATAGTCTAGTCTATAGTCTACTCTATAGTCTAGTCTGTAGTCTAGTCTATAGTCTAGTCTATAGTCTAGTCTATAGTCTAGCCTATAGTCTAGTCTATAGTCTAGTCTATAGTCTAGTCTATAGTCTAGTCTATAGTATAGTCTATAGTCTAGTCTATAGTCTAGTCTATAGTCTAGTCTATAGTCTAGTCTATAGTCTAGTCTATAGTCTAGTCTATAGTCTAGTCTATAGTATAGTCTATAGTCTAGTCTATAGTCTAGTCTATAGTCTAGTCTATAGTCTAGTCTATAGTCTAGTCTATAGTCTAGTCTAGTCTAGTCTAGTCTAGTCTAGTCTAGTCTAGTCTAGTCTAGTCTATAGTTAAATCTATAGTCTAGTCTATAGTCTACTCTATAGTCTAGTCTGTAGTCTAGTCTATAGTCTAGTCTATAGTCTAGTCTATAGTCTAGTCTATAGCCTATACTCCAGTCTATAGTCTAGTCTATAGTCTAGTCTTTAGTCTAGTCTACATTCTTGTCTATAGTCTAGTCTATAGTAAATTAAGTAAACTTTTTAAATACAGTACGATCTAATGCTATTATTAACTATCCCCCGAAGAACCAACTACGTGACTAATTCTGTATCATTACTTCCTTGCCTAAAGTAAACAGCATAGAGCGGTTTACCTTTGATCTGTATGAATATAACTTTAATTCTTTATTTACTTTTACTTCAGAAAACTAGAAATATTGTTTACTTTTCTTTAAAATTTTTGCCAAAAATTTATTGTTATGTTTTCATTAACAATTTACAACTCTGTCTGTTTTTAGTATTTATGGTTATTTTTAAATTTTATTTATTTCTTTTCAACTTTTGGTGTTAAATTTTCTATTTAATTTGTTTTATTTTTGCTTGACTTTTATAATGAGAAAAAATAAAGAAACAAATTTCACCTTTTTTTCTACGGCAATTAAACGAGATATTATAACTTTTCTTTATTGCTGTTAATATTTATTACCTTAAGTTGTTTAAACCTTAAAAATTTGCACTGGTACCTTTTTGTTGTGCAAAACTAAATGCTCGATTATTTAAACTACTTTTACTAAATATCAAGCTTTAAAATCTGTTTTTTTCGTTTAATTTGATTTCTGACTTGATTGAAAGTGTTTTACTTTTGAACTTCCGTATGTAAAAGTTGACTAATTGTTGTTTTCATTATTATTATTTTTCTTTTTTTTTTGTGATTTTATTTAAACATTTTCATCTAGTTTTTTTTCATTAGATTTAAAGTGGGTTAATGTACCTACATTAGCTTTTTAAGTTTGTTTCATTTTCTCTAATGACTAAATTTATTTAGTTTATTATACATTTTTTCCATTTAAAGTGTTTAACAAAGAAACATTTAGTTTTATTTAAAATGTAGCAAATTTAACTTTTCGTTGAACTCACGTGTTGTATCAAGATTCATTAGATACATATATTACAATATTTTGTATTGTAAGTCGGCAGAAATAGGAATTTTAGCAAAATTATAAAAGAAAATTTAGGAAATTTATACAACTTAATATAGTCTAGTCCGGCGTACAGTCTAGTCTATCGCCAAGACTATAGTCTTGTTCATAGCATTTTCTATAGCCTAGTCTATAGAAAATGCTATGTAGACTATAGTCTAGTCTATAGTCTAGTCTATAGTCTAGTCTATAGTCTAGTCTAGTCTAGTCTAGTCTATAGTCTAGTCTATAGTAGTCTATAGTCTAGTCTATAGTCTAGTCTATAGTCTAGTCTATAGTCTAGTCTATAGTCTAGTCTATAGTCTAGTCTATAGTCTAGTCTATAGTCTAGTCTATAGTCTAGTCTATAGTCTAGTCTAATAGTCTAGTCTATAAGTCTAAGTCTATAGTCGTAGTCTATAGTCTAGTCCTAATAGTCTATCTATAGTCTAGTCTATATCTAGTCCTAAGTCTAGTCTATAGTCCTAGTCTATAGTCCTAGTCTATAGTCAGTCATAGCTATTCTATAGTCTAGTCTAGTCTTATCTAAGTCTAGTCTAGTCTAGTCATAGTCTAGTCTATAGTCTAGGCTATAGTATAGTCTATAGTCTAGTCTATAGTCTAGTCTATAGTCCTAGAGTCTATAGTCTAGTCCTATAGTCTAGTCTAATAGTTTAGTCTATATCTAGTCTTATTCTAGTCTATAGTCTAGTCTATAGTCTAGTCTATAGTCTAGTCTATAGTCTAGTCTATAGTCTAGTCTATAGTCTAGTCTATAGTCTAGTCTATAGTATAGTCTATAGTCTAGTCTATAGTCTAGTCTATAGTCTAGTCTATAGTCTAGTCTATAGTCTAGTCTATAGTCTAGTCTATAGTCTAGTCTATAGTCTAGTCTATAGTCTAGTCTATAGTCTAGTCTATAGTCTAGTCTATAGTCTAGTCTATAGTCTAGTCTATAGTCTAGTCTATAGTCTAGTCTATAGTCTAGTCTATAGTCTAGTCTATAGTCTAGTCTATAGTCTAGTCTATAGTCTAGTCTATAGTCTAGTCTATAGTCTTGTCTATAGTCTAGTCTATAGTCTAGTCTATAGTCTAGTCTATAGTCTAGTCTATAGTCTAGTCTACAGTCTAGTCTATAGTCTAGTCTATAGTCTAGTCTATAGCCTAGTCTATAGTCTATTCTATAGTCTAGTCTATAGTCTAGTCTATAGTCTAGTCTATAGTCTAGTCTATAGTCTAGTTTATAGTCTTGTCTATAGTGTAGTCTATAGTCTAGACTAGACTATAGTCTAGACTAGACTATAGTCTAGTCTATATTCTAGTCTATAGTTTAGTATATAGTCTAGTCTATAGTCTAGTCTATAGTCTAGTCTATCGTCTAGTCTATAGTCTAGTCTAGTCTATAGTCTAGTCTATAGTCTAGGCTATAGTCTAGTCTACAGTCTAGTCTATAGTCTAGTCTATAGTCTAGTCGATACTCTAGTCTATAGTCTAGTCTATAGTCTAGTCTATAGTCTAGTCGATACTCTAGTCTATAGTCTAGTCTATAGTCTAGTCTATAGTCTAGTCTATAGTCTAGTCTATAGTCTAGTCTATAGTCTAGTCTATAGTCTAGTCTATAGTCTAGTCTATAGTCTAGTCTATAGTCTAGTCTATAGTCTAGTCCATAGTCTAGTCTATAGTCTAGTTTATAGTCTTGTCTATAGTCTAGTCTATAGTCTAGTCTATAGTCTAGTCTATAGTCTAGTCTATAGTCTAGTCTATAGTCTAGTCTATAGTCTAGTCTATAGTCTAGTCTATAGTCTAGTCTATAGTCTAGTCTATAGTCTAGTCTATAGTCTAGTCTATAGTCTAGTCTGTAGTCTAGTCTATAGTCTAGTCTATAGTCTAGTCTATAGTCTAGTCTATAGTCTAGTCTATAGTCTAGTCTATAGCCTAGTCTATAGTCTAGTCTATAGCCTAGTCTATAGTCTAGTCTATAGCCTAGTCTATAGTCTAGTCTATAGTCTAGTCTATAGCCTAGTCTATAGTCTAGTCTATAGTCTAGTCTAAAGTCTAGTCTATAGTCTAGTCTATAGTCTAGTCTATAGTCTAGTCTGTAGTCTAGTCTATAGTCTAGTCTATAGTCTAGTCTATAGTCTAGTCTATAGTCTAGTCTATAGTCTAGTCTATAGTCTAGTCTATAGTCTAGTCTATAGTCTAGTCTATAGTCTAGTCTATTGTCTAGTCTATAGTCTAGTCTATAGTCTAGTCTATAGTCTAGTCTATAGTCTAGTCTATAGTCTAGTCTATAGTCTAGTCTATAGTCTAGTCTATAGTCTAGTCCATAGTCTAGTCTATAGTCTAGTCTATAGTCTAGTCTATAGTCTAGTCTATAGTCTAGTCTATAGTCTAGTCTATAGTCTAGTCTATAGTCTAGTCTATAGTCTGTCTATAGTCTAGTCTAGTCTAGTCTATAGTCTAGTCTATAGTCTAGTCTATAGTCTAGTCTATAGTCTAGTCTATAGTCTAGTCTATAGTCTAGTCTATAGTCTAGTCTATAGTCTAGTCTATAGTCTAGTCTATAGTCTAGTCTATAGTCTAGTCTATAGTCTAGTCTATAGTCTAGTCTATAGTCTAGTCTATAGTCTAGTCTATAGTCTAGTCTATAGTCTAGTCTATAGTCTAGTCTATAGTCTAGTCTATAGTCTAGTCTATAGTCTAGTCTATAGTCTAGTCTATAGCTCAGTCTAGTTATAGTCTAGGATATAGTCTAGTCTATAGTCTAGTTCATAGGTCTTAGTCTATAGTCTAGTCTATTAGTCTAGTCTATAGTCTAGTCTATAGTTCTTAGTCTATAGTCTAGTCTATAGTCTAGTCTATAGTCTTAGTCTATAGTCTAGTCTATAGTCTAGTACTTATAGTCTAGTCTATAGTCTTGTCTATTGTCTAGGTCTAGTCTAGTCTATAGTCAAGTTTATAGTTTAGTATATTTTCTAGTCTATAGTATAGTCTATAGTTTAGTTTATAGTCTTGTCTAAAGTTTAGTCTAAAGTCTAGTCTATAGCCTAGTTTATAGTATTTTCTATAGTCTAGTCTATAGTCCAGTCTAGTCTATAGTCTATTCTAAAATCTAGTCTATAGTATTTAGTCAAAAGTCTAGTTTACAGTCTAGTTTTTAGTCTAGTCTATAGCGTAATCTATAATCTGGTCTATAGTATAGTCTATAACCTAGTCTATAGTCCGGACTAAATTATTTTGTTCAATTATGAAATTATATGGACAATTATCTAAAAACAATGTATTCTAAGTTCATAGTTAGCAAATCCCGGAAATTGGGGACCATTTACATTAATTTAAGACTTGTTTTATTAATAAAACATGTACTTACAAAGCCTTAGCTTTGTTTCACTTTTGTTTAAATATTTTTCATATAAAATTGCCATTGAATATTTTTATTATTTTCAAACAAGAAACTTTTATAACCTCTAACCTTAAAATAGTTTAAAACCTTCATTATTTTACTTCAATTAGAATGCCAATTAATTTTTTTTTTGTATCTTTTTTTCTTTCTTTACAGACAAAATGTTCGGTATTTCGTGGTCTAGTATTGTGCATCTGCCTGAATGTCACCTACGCCAATGTTGTGCGTTTTCCCCGTGAAATGGATAAATACGGTTTAGCGTATTTGATTCCATACTTAATACTATTATTTCTAGTCGGTTTACCCATTGTACTGTTGGAGATATCAGTGGGACAATTTTTGGGACAGGGCGCAGCACATACATGGAGATCATCGCCGATATTTAAAGGTAAATATTGAATTAAATCATATTTGTATAGAATACAAAAGTTGCCGTATTATTTTATTTTTAAATTATCTTGAGCCTAAAGGTATACTATCAATTTGCTTATTGAGTTTGTAAAACGTTAAAAACTAAACCAATTGCTTAGCGAAGTATGTGTGTGTTTAAGAATGACTGTTAAAAAACACTTGACTACAATGAAGGCATTTTCTAAAGTAAATAAAATTCATATTTGTTCGTTATTGATTATGATAATCACAAATCATAGTATAATGATGAACGGTTCATATATGTATATATGATGCTCGAATGGTCATTCTAACCTACTTTGTTCTCCAACTTTGTTCAGGTGAAATTTTTTTGTGGAATTTTGATATGACCAATTAGAGCTATTTGTAAAATATTATGTATGTTGAAAACATTATCGGTTAATCAAGACCCCCCCCCCCCCCCCCCTCTAATGCCAATAGAAGTGAAATTTTTATTCCTTTGAAATTTTCATTCCCCATGAAGTGAAAATTGCTATCATGAACTTAATGTAAACAAATCATTCATAATAGTTGATTTTGTATGAAACAGCTGTTCATTGTTTACAAAATTCCATTAAAAACAAGAGAGTTTTTGTAAGTCAAAGAAGTTAGTGAACGAAAAAAGTAAAATGGTGAATAATTTTGCATTACAATTTGTTCTAATAAAATGTTCTTTCTTTTTTTACAGGAGCCTGTATTGTCAGTCGTTTTGCTTCATGGGTTTCTACCGTATGGGTGTCGCTGCAGGCAGTTATGGCCTTGGCTTATATAGGCATGTTTGCCTTTAACAGTTTCCCTTTTAGAGAGTGTCTGGGTAATTTAAGATTGGCGGCGGTAAGTTGAATTGAAAGTGAGAAATTTATATAAAACATGTAATAACACAACCACATTCCATATAACAGGATGGTTATGCCTTAAGCAATATCAGTAGCCAAGAATGTATGGAGAAGACTTTCTTAACTCCCTTCTGGGAGAATCCTTTCTTTTTTGGTTTATTATCAATTGGCTTGATTGGTCTGTGGGCGGTGGTAATGTTGTGGTGAGTTTTTTTGTTTCCTTGTTTCCAAATCAAATCAAAACTAAAATTATTCTACTTCCAGTACACATAATGGCCGGGTTTTACGCAGAGTTCTATTCATTTTCGGTTTATTGGGCTTTCTATTACTGTGCTGTATTACCGGCTGGGAGATACACAACTCTCTGGATAAAGTTACCCCCTATTTTCCTCCCCTATATGGTTTTACCAAGGAATATTTATATGAAAGTAATCTATGGTTTAGCGCCTTAATGCAAGTTATATTTGCCTTAAATTGTGGTTTTGGTGTATTGCCCATGATTACTGGAAAATTTCTATATAAAGGTGATGCTGTACGTACGTCAGTGGTTTATTTATGTTTTAATCTATTGATCAATGCCATAGCAGTGACACTGTTTATGATACAATTCGATCATTCGGCTAATGGTGCCTATATGATAGAGGAATTGAAACCATTGACAACTATATATGATCGGATATTGTATGACAAGCCGTTATATGAATTGTGGATTAAGTTATTACCTTCTTTGGTTTATGTTTTGGTGGTGATTTCCTGCTTTATAACCATAGTGGTGGGCATTTATACTTGCACTCGACTGGTGCCCAGACATCCCAATTATGTTATCAGTTTGGTGGGCTTAGTGGCGGCCATAATTTCCTTATCGGCTCCGAAGTTCTATATAGCTAGATTGTTGGATTCCCGCATTGTGGGTACCATGATTATAACAGCTTTGGTATTTGAGTTGATAGCTGTAACCTGGATTTATGGCGTGAAAAATATCTATACTGATTTGGAATTTTCCATAGGTCGACCTATTTATAAGATATGGTTGGGTTTGTGGTGTATATGTCCGGCCATTTTGACGGGTCTTTTAGTCTGGTGGTGTTCTGATGATGATGAATTTGATTTATTGGCCAATATTATGCCTAGATGGGCTCCTATATTATTTGTTTTATTTGTTATAATGGTTATAGCTTGTATTCAAATCTTCCGGCAAGTGGAGTATAATTTCTTTGGCATGATATGTGAGGCCTCCAAATCGGCCAAAGAATGGGGTCCTGCTGATCCTTTGGCCAGACATGCCTGGAAGCAGTGGCGTTCTGTATGTCAAGATACTGGACAAAGAGATTTTACCTTAAGACGTCGTGGCACCCGAGACTATACACACTCCATTAAAAAGGGTCAATACTCCACCTCGAATAAATATGCTAATGGAGGAGCAGGAGTAGCGGGCAGTACAAATAATCAGCATAATAATTGGAAATCTTCTACACCAGGCAATAGTTCTCCCAATTATAGTGGTTCGGTATTTGGAGACTCAGCCATAGAGGAGGATATTAGTGTGGATAAGTTTCCAGGGATAACACAACAATTTGTGCCATTTCATAGCAGTGAAACTAATAATAAACCTGCCAGACAATCACACCGATCACGTAGTCAACCGCGTACCGGACATCAACTGCCACAACCACAACAACCCCAACAAACAACAACACAAAGACTACAACATCACAGCAGTCAAGTAGAATTACGCCCAAATAATACAGAACCCAACACTACCACCACCACCTCTAATACCAAACATCGTGAAATTGTCTATATTAGACGTTTATCCTCCGAAGAGGGACAACATGCTACACGCATAGAAATAACACCCTCCCAAGAATCAATATCATATGCACCCACCCGCAATCCCATGGCCAGATCCAGTGGATCACATGGTAATGCTAATAATTATGTTAAACGTACTTCCAGTTCGGCTAAATTGGAAAGTAATCGTAATGTTTCGAAGCCTACACCCTCAGCAGCCGATGTCAATAATGGTGATCATATATGTTGGCGTAAATTTTCCATGAATCCTCAAGAATATTCTACAGAATTGTGATCTTAAATGCGAAAAACAACAAACCACAACGAATCTAGTGATTTTTCTCTAATTAAATTGTATATAAGTAAAAAAAGAAGAAACTAAATAATTAAGGCGAAATTTAAACGAACTAATAGGAATCTCAAACCTAAAAGTACAGCTGTCAATGTTCTCATTTAAGGCAAAAAAGTGCCTTTTTCTGCTTTTTCTAGAAGTACATTTGGAAATAGGAGCAGATAAAGGGCATCTTTTTTTGCTCTATAGGGACATAAAGAGACTCTGTTTAAATGGTTTTAAAACAAAGAAAACGAAATTGATTTCGCCTTAATTATTTGCCGACATATCCAAATATATATAAAACAATATCAGCTATAAGTACATTCCCAAATATATAATTTACATAAAAAGACTTTATTTTCATAGAAAAAAATGAAAATTGTAAAATTTATGCAAAACGAATTATTATTATTATGTATTAGTGTAAATAGTTTTAAACAAAAAAAAAAAAAAAAAAACACAAGTTAAACAATTCTCTAAGCAACGAATATTCTTAGAAATATAAATTCCAAACAAAAGCACCTAACAAATAAAATGCCATAAATTTGTTGGTTGTTGTTTGGGGCTTAAAGAATGTCCTGTGAAATTCAAATTATATCCTTTTTGCAATACTTACTACATACACACATACATACATCATTTATTTGTACTACATTTTAGTTACTTTTTTGTTTAAATTAAGCATTTATTATGATTTTAATTTAATATTATTTTGTAGTTTATTTAAAGTAATTATTATGTATTAATTATTTAGGCCTTAAAGTGCATGTTATATTTCTGTAATTGTAATTGTTTAGTAATAGTTTATGTAAATAGTTTTTTTTTGTCAATTTAAATATTTTATTAGAAACCAAATTATTTAGATGTAAAAAGTCCTCAAATAGCAAGAAACAAAGAGTTATCTTTGATGAATAGCAGAGAATTTATTGTTCTCTAAATGATTAAGTTATATAAATAAAACGAAAACATAATTAAAGCAATATTTAAAAGTTTTTTCAAAAAGGTCCTAAGACAATAAGATTTTTTTTTATAAAAATACTAAAATAACTTCTTAAGTTTTCTTTACAGATAACAAATACATAACTACTCCAGCCACTTAAAACACAAAAACAGCTTTTCAAGAAGACTGAGCACCTTATTCTTCCCAATTTCTGAACTTACTAAGCCAAAAAATCTCGGCTGTTATCGTTCTGGCATCCTCAGCATTTAAGTAATATCTATTTAGAACAAAAATTCTTTAAAAGTTATTAAAAACCTGTAAAAACAGTTTAAAACAATAAAAAATTACTGTCAAAATTCAAAAAACAAGTGTTTTATTTACATATTTGTCAACCAATTAGGTTATTTTCAAGTTAAACCCCTTAAAATTCCTAAATTCTCTTTAAAACTGCTCAAAAATCACCACAAAACCCTTTAAAATCCTTAAAAAGCAGTTAAATACTTTAAAATACAATTTGAATTGTCAAAAGTCGTTACAAATGCAGCAAATTAGCAAATTTTGGTCTGGCAATGCCCCTAAAGAAATTTGAATTTTTCGACGATGGCAATGCCTTTTTTCGGGCTAAATTTAGCGCCATCTATTGGTGGCTCAATTTTTGTTTTGTCAGTAAAAAATCATGTCGCTCAATAGATGGCGCTGATCACAGGTCGTGCCAGGGTTGCCAACTCCCGGAAATTAAAGAAAACGTGGGATTACTTAAAAGTAGAATATCTCGGAAACCAATGGACCGATTGGAATGAAAGTACATACTATGGATAGGGGAATTATAAGACTTTCTGAAAAATTCATTTGGCAGGATTGCCAGGTTGCCTAAATAGGTTATAATTGCATGTTTTTCCAGGGGTGAGAGAGTCATTATTAAAAATCGAATATTTTGGAACCCTTTCGACCGATTTAAATGTACCCATATGCTATGGATAGGGAAAGTTTAGAGCTTTAAAATTTTAAATGGCAGAGTTGCCAGGTTTTATAAATAAGTATTATATTGAGAGTTTGTGAAGCGGAACAAAACATTGGAATAACTCCGGGAATATTGGACCTATAGAAATGAAATTTGGGTCGAGAAGTGTAATGAGATTTAAGGATTTGAAAAAAATTATTTGGACAGGGTCGCCAGGTTTTTTACATTGTAAAACTTTAAAATTACTAAAAATATGTTATTAATTCACAAAAACTAATGACATTTTTAACTATATTTTAATGAAAAAACCTGGCAACCCTAACAAAATAAGTTTTTTATAAACCTCAAACCTGGCTTTAACTATATATCTAAAGTTCACTTTAATAGGTCCAGTATTTCCAGAGTTATTACAACTTATTGCTGCGCCTGAAAAATCTGACATATTTTAGGTATTTAAAAACCCTGGCAACCCTAAAGAAATAAATTTTAAAGCCTAATACTTTTCCTATCCATAGGCTATGGTTCCATCCAAATCGGTTAAAGAAGTCCTGAGATATTTCACATTGAACTTAAGTATTGTCACCCCTGAAGAAAAATAAAATTTTTTACCATTTACACTACCTGGCAACCCTACCAAATAAATTTTTCAGAAAGTCTTATAATTCCCCTATCCATGGTATATACTTTCATTCCAATCGGTCCACTGGTTTCCGAGATATTCCACTTTAAAGTAATCCCACTTTTTCTTTGATTTCCGGGAGTTGGCAACCCTGGAACGACCTGTGGTCAGCGCCATCTATTGAGCGACATGATTTTTTACTGACAAAACAAAAATTGAGCCACCAATAGATGGCGCTAATTTTAGCCCTAAAAAGGGCATTGCCATCGTCGAAAAATTTAAATTTCTTCAAAGTCATTGCCAGACCAAAATTTGCTTATTTTGTGCATTTGTAACGACTTTTTGAAATTCAAATTGTATTTTAAAGCAATTAACTGCTTTTAATGAGATTTTTAGGTTTTTTTTGAAGGTGTTTAAAGGAATTAAAGTATTTTCAAGCTATTGCTTGGAAAATAACCTGATTATGGGTATAAATATCGTAAATAAAAAAACGTTTATAAGGTTTATTTAATAAATCTTTATTACTTTTTACAGGTTTTTATTAATTTTAAATAAATTTTCAGTCTCTATACATAGTTATCATTCAGTTGTTGTTTGTTATGGAAAAGCTAAAGCCTTTAGCTTGGACCCTTAGAAGATTTTGAAGTGATGAATTCTTTTAACATCCTAGAAAGCTATTTCAATAGTTTTTAGTTGTTACTTTGGTAGCTGAAAAGAAAAAATAAATAAAATAAAAATAAGCATTATTTAATAGAAATTCGAGGTTTTATAAAATAATAACTATTTCTGTGTGTACTGAATGTAGATTGAGTATGAACTATTGTCTGTCACAAGTATAAACTGAACAGAATACAGCCTGTTATCTTTACAGTGTGTGGATAATAGTATGTTCAGAGTAGAGACTATGGTCTGTCCAAAGTATAGACTGCGGTCTGTCAATAGGCTATAGTCTGTCCATAATATAGACTATAGCCCGACCAGAGTATAGACTATAGTCAGTCCTGAGTATAGGCTATAGTCTACCCAGAGTATAGACTACAGTCTGTCCTGAGTATAGACTGTAGTCTTTTCAGAGTATAGACTATAGTCATTTCAGAGTATAGACTATAGTCCGTTCAGAGTATAGACTATAGTCTGTCCAGAGTATAAACTATAGTCTGTCCAGAGTATAGACTATAGTCTGTCCAGTGTATGGACTATAGTCTGTCTAGAGTATAGACTATAGTCTGTCCAGAATATAGACTATAGTCTGTCCAGAGTATAGACTATAGTCTTTCCAGAGTATAGACTATAGTCTGTCCAGAGTATAGACTATAGTTTGTCCAGAGTATAGACTATAGTTTGTCCAGAGTATAAACTGTAGTCTGTCCAGAGTATAAACTATAGTCTGTCCAGAGTATAGACTATAGTCTTTCCAGAGTATAAACTATAGTCTGTCCATAATATAGACTATAGTCTGTTCAGATTATAGACTGTAGTCTGAACAGTGTATAGACTATAGTCTGACCAGAGTACAGGCTATAGTCTGTCCAGAGTATAGACTACAGTCTGTCTAGAGTATATGATGTAGTGTGTCCAGAGTATAGGCTATAGTCTGTCCATAATATAGACTATAGTCTGACCAGAGTATAGACTATAGTCTGTCCTGAGTATAGGCTATAGTCTGCCCAGAGTATAGACTACAGTCTGTCCTGAGTATAGACTGTAGTCTTTTCAGAGTATAGACTATAGTCTTTTCAGAGTATAGACTATAGTCCGTCCAGAGTATAGACTATAGTATAAACTATAGTCTGTCCAGAGTATAGACTATAGTCTGTCCAGAGTATGGACTATAGTCTGTCCAGAGTATGGACTATAGTCTGTAAAGAGTATAGACTATAGTCTGTCCAGAATATAGACTATAGTCTATCCAGAGTATAGACTATAGTCTGTCCAGAGTATAGACTATAGCTTGTCCAGAGTATAGACTATAGTTTGTCCAGAGTATAAACTGTAGTCTGTCCAGAGTATAGACTATAGTCTGTCCAGAGTATAGACTATAGTCTTTCCAGAGTATAAACTATAGTCTGTCCATAATATAGACTATAGTCTGTTCAGATTATAGACTGTCGTCTGTCCGGAGTATAGACTAGTCTGTCCTGAGTATAGACTATAGTCTTTCCAGAGTATAGACTATAGTCTTTCCAGAGTATAGGCTATAGTCTGTCCAGAGTATAGGCTATAGTCTGTCCAGAATATAGACTATAGTCTATACAGAGTATAGACTATAGTCTGTCCAGAATATAGACTATAGTCTGTCCAGAATATAGACTATAGTCTGTCCAGAGTATAGACTATAGTCTGTCCAGAGGGTATACTATAGTCTGTCCAGAGTATAGACTATAGTCTGTCCAGAGGGTAGACTATAGTCTATCCAGAGTGTCGACTATAGTCTGTCCAGAGTATAGACTATAGTCTGTCTATAATATAGACTATAGTTTGTTAAGATTACAGACTGAAGTTTGACCAGAGTATAGACAATAGTCTGACCAGAATATAGACTATAGTCTGTCCAGAGTATAGACTATAGTCTGTTCAGAGTATAGACTTTAGTCTGTCCAGCGTATAGACTATAGTCTGTCCAGAGTATAGACTTTAGTCTGTCCAGCGTATAGACTATAGTCTGTTCATAGTAAAGGCTATAGTCTGTCCAGAGTATAAACTATAGTCTGTCCATAGTATAGACTATAGTATGTCCAGCGTATAGACTATAGTATTTTCATAGTATTGATTAGAGTATAGATAATAGATGGTTCCGGGTGTAAACTCAAGTATGTCTTAAATATAGGCTATAGTCTGTCCTGAGTTTAGACTATAGTCTTTCCAATGTATAATCTACATTATTGGCTATATACATATGAACTTGATTGATAGGTTTCGGTTTGTTGTAGAACTAGTAGTTTTTAACATATATTTTAATTAGAATAATTTAATCTAAGTACATTCTAGCAATTGTTATGATATGTTTTTAATTTAAGAAATTTAAATTGTTCATTGCATCACTTTCAAGTTTAGATTTAGTTTATTGTATTCAAATTTTTTAATTTATTTAATTTTAGATTTAATTAGAAATGACTTTGATGCTGGTTTTCTAGTTTTGAATACTCTTTTTATATTGTGTTATATAAAGAACTCAAATTGACCAAATCACATTGATCAAATAAGTACATATACATACATATGTGTGTTAAATTTCAATTTGTAGCAATGTCAATGCATAAAATAATATGATCACCGTCTACTAATAACATTTATAGAGTAAAACATGTTGATAAAAATATAAATTTTCAATGAAAATCAATATAAAGTTTTCTTAGTGATCCCCAAATATTTCTACTAAGTGAACGTGCTTGTATATTTAGTGTGGGTTTTAGGCCTTGTTGTGCTATGATCTTCAGTGACAGTGATCTTTTTAAAGCATATATATGTATATATTGATGGATTCGAATTCAAGTTCAATCTTTTCTTTTTCATTGACAAAACAACTTCTTCAAATGTTAAATAAAATATATAAATGTTTAAAACATAAGAATATTAACCCAGATTAGGTGGTTAAAAACAAGCAATTTAAATGAATTTTAAAAGGATTTTAATTTGATTTTGCATACACGTTTGATCAATCATTCCATTTAAAGAGCATTGAACGATACAAAACTGTAAGAAATTGAATATTAATTAGAACTATTTTTTTGAAAAT